TAAGAAAGAGTATCGTTTCGTTTCCTCTCTGTCTTTCTCGTGTAGAGAAATTGATTGCAACGATTGCGTGAATATCGCGAATGAGGGCTTGCGTGCAGATGTCGATCGACTCGCGCACCGGGAATCAGAGACGTCGAAGAGGAAAGGGACGTCAGAAAGGTGACAGGTTCTCATTTTCGTGGCGGACGACTTCGGTCTTCGGTCGAAAAGAGGAAAGAAGGAGAAGAACGAGAAACTGGTCGCCATTTATCGTTCTCGAGCCATTACTCGACGTTTGGCTGGTGTAATTGCCGTAGCAAGAGTATTTCTACTTCGAAACGTACGCGTCACAGGGCGGAGAAAACTTGACCAAGTCGAATTCTCGTGTTGGACGTTGCATCGTAACGACTGTAAAATTTTCTTCACTGTAAAATCGACGAAATGCAACAAATTAATTAATTGTGAATATTCATGCAAATTCGTGCATATCTTTGCGAAGATAATTTAAAAAAAAAAATAGAAGCTGGAGATCTACTCTGGTTTGGATGTTCTTGCACGTACGTTTTTGCATCTTGTTATTCTCTGCAAGTTTTTTTTTATAATTGTATTTTATATTTAAACGTGCAACTACACGTTTAAGCTAATATTGGAAACGGATGTTCAGTGCATTTATATTCATTACGTATCACGTGTACATGAAGACCGTAAAGGAAAACAGGATAAGTCGTATTTTTGCGTCACTCAAGAACAAGTTGGTCGGGGAACGAGTTCACTCGTAAAAATGGCGCATACAAGCGCCATTATGTAATTTAAACAGGTCGGTTTTCTTAAATCGTACCTTTCGAATTTCAAGCCTCTGTGTTCCTCTTTCAACATGATAAAAACTGGCGGCGTGAACGTAAATTTATCGTACTCTACGCAGGAGAGAAGTCAGAAAGTAAAAGGTTATTAATTATCCCGCGATTTAATAATATTCCATTTTAATTTTAAAATATTTCCGATAGGACATGTTTATTTTCTATCAAAGGAAGGACTATTTCAAATTGAGACGTCGTACTTGCAGAATTTTATTAGCCAATCGTGGCGTTTTTCGTCTAGCAAACCGGGCTCATTTTTTTCATTAATTTCTTGAGACATATCCAGACAATTTTTCTGACATTGAGGTCCTCAGATTTAGTTAAAAGTTTAAATTCCTTCGTGGCAAGAACAATATACCGTCCTATGATGAAGTTTGACTTTAACTTTCAGGAAAGTGCTCGATGCGTTCAATCAGAGGAAACTGGTACACTTCATTTAAATATACGCGCAATACTTTTCGTTCGTTCTTATTCCGAGCAAATTAGCATATATCGCGGGCAGTTGAACGTCGTTTACCACTTGAGCAACGTCCCTGAATTATAACATCAGCTTCCCCGTTTCATCAAACTACATTCCCTGCGTTCGTATTATCATCAGTCTTAGACATCTAACTACTCGGTCGTAAAAAAAAAAAAATCTAAATGAGTTTAAGTGCCCGTATTAGTCCGCGCGCTCGATTCCTCCGCTTCAGCTGCGATGCTTGTCAAGCAGTTTTAGTTTCAACGCGGTAATCATCAAACAAGAACTGGTAACATTACGATACGTGCTAACGATGATAGGAGTAAATATCTATAAAAATAATAATATTATAAAAATTATAAAATAATAATATAATATAATTATTAATAATACTATTATAATATAATACCAATATAATATAATTATTACTAATAATACTAATATAATACTAATATAACATAATTATAATAATTAATAATACTAATATAATACTAATAATAATAATACTATAATTATTATATTATAATTATTATAGTATTATTAATAATTATTACTATAATTATTAATAATAATATTATTACAATATAATATAATATAATATAATTATTATAATATAATAATAATGTTATAATAATAATAATAATGTTATAATAATAAAATAATAATGTTATAATAATAAAATTCTGTATCAGAGGAAAGAAAGTTAGTTCGAAGGAGAAAAAAGACATAAATTTGTCAAAAAATTGAAATAAAATAGTTCATTACTTCTTGAAGAACTTCTCGGAGAAATTTGCAAAAACAATTTTCCTTCGTTCCAGATTTTCTTCAGATACAAATTTCTCGAATTTAATTGTTGTCAAAGTACAATTCTCTAACAATTGATATCTCCGATCATTATCTCGTCCTCTCTCCCATTGTTCACTATCGCAATTGAAATTACTTCAAAATTGGAAGGATAACTATGTACTTTGTTCATTCGAAATTCTTTCACTCGCCAAGATCCGATCGCCCGTGGAGAAAGAACATGTTGTCGCTTAATCCGGAATCCAACGAGAAAGATCGGGAACGGGAAGCAACGAAGCAAAGTCGAGCTCGGAGCAAAAAAAAAAAAAAAAAGAAAAAGAAAAAGAAAAAGAGAAAGAAAAAGAAAAGACGCGAAAAGGTGTGGAGCATCGGCGGAGAAACGAGGATAAAGAGCAAAAGGACGAGGAGATTGTAGCGCGAGAGATAAAAAGGAAATCGGCGAGGATGAGGAGAGCGACGTTTGCACGCCCACGCGCGCCGTCTTAATTACGCGCGCGGGCCTGGCGGGGCTGGTTTTACGATTATGCCGCTGGTTCGAGGAGCTCGGACCGCCGGCTCGCTTCCTTTTATAGCCGGCGTTAAAAAGTAATTAGGACGAAGAGCCGTGGTAGAAACACGGCTGGCCACGATACGTACGATAACCTTAATGACGATCGTGTATGCAAACGTCCGCGTATATATATATATATATATATATATATATATATATATATATACGGGGACGTGACCATGCGCGGCAAACACCCGCGTGGAAATTGCGAGGCTGATATTGGCGGCGATAACTCTTTTCCATCGACGGCCCCTCCCGGACCCCATCGTCCCTTTCAAACGGCTGCGTTAACGTCGCTCACGTGACAAACGAACGATCTCACGGCGAACCTCGGACGTACCAGCCGTAATTTCCGGGGAATAAAGGCACCGATCTGCCACCGGTTGATGGTCGGTCCACCCGAAAAACGAAGAAAAAACTGCGAGAATCACGCCGAATTTCTCCAATTTTCTTTCGAACGCCAACTCCCTTTCGAACCATTTCGGAATTCCCCCGGAATTGATTCTTTAACTTCTTCGAAACTTTCTTGGAACGTCTTGAAACTTTGATCTTTCGGAAATTTTTTTTTTTTTTTTTCCTGAACGTTTCACTTTCTCTGAAACTTCGATCTTGGGATTTTTCGAAACCTTCGTTGGAATTTGTCCAAGGTTTCGCGAAACTTTTTAAACCGGAATTTTCTGAAACCTTACACATTTTTCGAAGGTCTTTCAACTTACTTTTCTTAGCGAAATTCTTCGAAGTTTCCTTAAAATTTCTTGAAACTTTTTCGAAGAATTATTCCAAACTTTCTATAACTTTTCTATAACTCCGATCTCGAAATTTTTCGAAACTTCGAACTTTGTAAACTTTCCGCCTTTCGAAATTTTCGGAAGCTCGGTGTCTGCCGACGGTGGTTTCCCAAATTTTCAGCTTCGTCTAAATTTTTCCAATCCCCGCCAAGATATTTTGAACAATCGTTCGAACCCGCGAGCAATCTTTTTCTCGAACCGAATCCAAATTTTTTGGACCACGTCGCCACGAACGGCGGTGGAAAATCGTCGAACGCGAAATTTAACCGCGTTCATTGAGAAAAATGAAGTGCCGGCCACGAGGGTGGAGACGAAACTTCGCCCATGATAAATATATTCATTTCTCACGGGCGGAGGGGTTCAATCTATCCCGGTAGCAATTTTTCACGTGGTTTTTGCGAATTCAACTGTCCGTGGCTTCGTACGTTTTATTGCAACCCAAAAAACCGGACTCCAACGACTAAAAAAAAAAAAAAAAAAAAAAAAAAAAAATGCTCGACGGGAAACAAGCTCGAGTTTTTCGGAAAATAATGGACATTAAACTCTGTACTTCTGCCTTCCTTTTTTTCACTTTTTCCTTTTTTTATTTTTTTGTAAGTGGAACGAACGTGAAATGACAGGAAATTGTATAAACGTCGTCGTGTGTTATTTCGAAATTTTTCTATTTCTTTTTTTTTTTTTTTTTGTATCTCATTTTACGTTTTGTCGCGTTTATTTGACCTGTTTAACAACTCGTACGTCATTCCGTTAGTATCTGTTAATTTCACGCGCTTGTTAAGTCGATTTTTTCGGACAGTTCAACGTGTATCTGACAACGTTTGTAATTTTTACACAGCTACACAGTTCGCTGTGGATAACCTTCTTTAAATTTTCTACATTTCCACGTACTTTGCTTCAATTTCTGACATTTTTATTTCCTCCTGTTTCTTGTATTTCCCTCTTTTATTTTCTCTCGGTTGCACTGAATTTTGTGCGCCATTCAATTACATCAGTTCAGAGCCGTTCAATTCAATATTCCATTGAATGAAGTTCTTTAAAAGGAATTTCTGTTCAAATACTCAGTGAATACGTACGTATCTGTCACTTGAAAATCCTTCTATTTCGAACGTTCGAATTTTCATTTGAAGGTTTCTCGACTTAAACATAAGTCCCTTCACCTAAAAAAAAGTTTAACACGAACTTTATTAACCGAGAAATTTTATATTAACATCCATCCGTTTTTTCATAAATCTTTAACGAAACTTGTCATGCGATGAAACAGCTAGTCTACAGTAAAAAATTTCATCGGGGACTATATCCATTACAATCAGAATGATAATAGTCACGGGATAATAATTCTTTTTCTTTTCCATTGCGAGTAACGATTGCAAGTTTAAAAAAAAAATATTTTTCGTTGTTAATAACCATTATTAGGTCGGACAAGATTTACTTTGCTGAATTCTGTTAATTTCCGCGTGATTCACATCAGAAAGTAACTTTACGATTTTAGTAACTTTTCGCAGAAGCTATAGAGCTCCTCAAGTAGATAAAGAAACTAAGGAGACGACGACGGTGTGTTTCAGGTGAGAAAAGTGTGCGGCCGTGCAGAGCTGCGGCCATCGAACGGAGGGACCGTTACCGATGCAGCTGCAACAGGGAAATCGACGTCAACCGGGTTGGAGATGCACGCAGCTGCACCGAGTGCCACGCATCGGACGTTACCAACGCAGTTGCACGTGCAGCTGGGCAATTTCTTAGCCAGTGTCGTCAGGTCTCGGACCTTCTACGGCACTCTGGCCGACACGATCTGCGAGGAATACCCGGACAGACGATGCTGGAACGGCGAACGCATCGGAGAGTAAGTACCGCGCCATTTTGTCTTTTTTCTTATATCGCGTGTGACTCGAAAGTTGACTTACAAGAGAAAAAAAAAAAAAAAAATCATCACAGTCGATTGCGAAAATTCACACACGTTTTCACAGCAGATATTGAAGGAAAAATTACTTGAGACAAATCTTACAGTGTTTCGAGTGCCTTTCGCAATTCTTCGTGTCTCCTTTCTGCTCCTTGTTTTATACATTTATTTTTGTGCTCGCCAAATCGTATTTTGCAGCCAGGGTGTGATTCTACTCGAAAGAGATGATAATATTTTTCCCTTGTGGCGCTTCGTTTTTGGAAAAAAAAAAAAAGAAAAATCGGGTTTGAAGTATACTTGAATTTAGCTAATTCTAGACGCGACAAGTTACTCTACGCGCGGAAATGAGTAAAAAACTGTAGAATGAAACGTTTTCCTGTCAGATGCTTCGCTTTCGAGTTTGAAAATTAATCGAGTATAATTAGAGTGAATGAAAAATTTTATCAGGAATAAATTTGAATAAAAATTTATCAATATTTCAATTTGGGGAACGTTCTATACTAACGTAATGATAATTTATAGTCTGCAGTCTTACGTATTTCTACACTTTTCGTATGATCGTGTTTTCCATTTTATTCATACGTTCCTTCGAACAAATTTGTCGGTTCAAACGTCATTGGTATTTTTAACCTCTTGCGCTGGAATTGTTTTCTCAGTTTCAAGTATGTTTAAATATATTTAAGTTAATATATATTTAATTTAAATTAAATTATATTATATATAATTTAATTTATTAAATAATATATGTATAATTTATAATAATATATATTATATATATATATATATAAACAATATATAATTCAAGCTAATATATATTTAAATATATTTAAGTTTTAAGTATATTTTATGTATACTTAAATATAATTTGCTACTTCTCGATAATTTCTATCCAGTGACGAATTTTTCAAAAGGAAAGCGACGAATTATTACATACGGTTCGGTCACTCGTTATGGTCCGCGGATCAGTTGCCAGCGCCGCAAGCGGTTTAAAAGCAGTCGAATTCTGTCGAGAATGTCCAAAAAAATGTTTCGAAATTTTTGACACACGCACGTAAGCGTCTATCATTGCATTCCAGTTTAAAATCTGTCACGAGTGAGTCATTCGGCACTTGAGCTCGAAGCAACAAGCACAGAACGAAAATTCTCGCTATTCCGTGCTCGTAGCGTGCAGTATATTTTACGATAAGGATCAAGCTATCCCGTGAACAGTTTTCCTAACAGACTGAAACAAGCTGGAGCGAAGAGGAGAGCAGCTTTTTTTCTATTAAACGAAATCGTGCGTTTCAATTCCGTCGAACAGGTCGAATTGTACGCCGGCACTCGCGGCGATAACGATACTTTTCCTTGAAAATAACGTGAGAATCGATTTCGCGCTCGAGTTGGAACAAGGTGGCATGGCTCTTGGCACCGGAAAAGATTAGGTAAGAAAGAGCGTGTGGCGTTGGCTGACAGTATGCGTGGAGCATGTTCGTCAATGATCGAGTCATCGTTTGAGAAACGATTTCCAAGCACGTACATGGTTCTCCTCTTTGCCCCTTGATTCCATTCTCCTCTCTCTCTCTCTTTCTCTCTCTCTCTCTCTTTCTTTCTGTTTCTTGAGCCTCTCCTTATCAACAGCTCGCGACGGTACACGCCGGTTATTAGATACCACGGCGACAGAATCAGCTTGGTAGACGCATCCAGCAAAAAACCAGCTGCGTCAGAAGTGCAAATGGAAGAAGCCGAGAGAGACATTTGCATCCCGTGACCGGACTTGGGATTTCGAAACGAAAACCTCTTGCTCGATCCGTTCCTTTTTCCAGTTTCGCTGGGAAACCTAGGTGATGGCGATTCGTAGTATATATGTATTGCAAGCCTTTCAACTTTCTTATTGTTGCGTAGGAATGCTAATCTCTGAATCGTCGTTTGTCCAGTTCCAGTTCTCGCTTTTCCGTCTTTCTGCTTTTCTTCGTTTCCTCGCCACGTTTTTTGTTCGTTTCTTTTTACTCTCTCGTTCCTCCTCGGTTGGAGCTTTCGCAAGAGTAGATTGAGACTTAGAAATTGTTGATTCGATTATTTAATGAAATATTCTATTTATATTGTTATTAATATTAATATTAATATAAATTAATATTATATTATTATATTATATATCAATATAAATTAATATTATATAATATATAATATTAAAAATATTAAAAATATTAAAAATATTACATAATGTATAATATTAAAAATATTATATAATATATAATATTAAAAAGAGCTCTCTGCTCTATTTTTACGATCGAAACAAAATTATTTCTTTTCTAAATCGTTAACAGTTGGTTGCAAATTTATTGCAAGGGACCATTTTCTTGTTCCTAGAAAGCACGGTCAAATTATTGAATTTTAAAAGATCAAATGTCCTCTGAGAAATTTAAATCCACACTTAATTGGCAATAACAGTCGGCAGAATTGACTAACTGATTAAACATTTTATTCAGACGAGAATCTAATACTTTAAAGTTATCCGCGCCTTGGAAAGAATTCTTGTTGCCACCTACGAATTTAATTTCTGCATCGAGATTATTCAGAAACTTTGCAAAAGAACTTCGTCCAAACAAATTTACTACTTTTAGCAGCCGCTGCGAAAGAAAGTTCGGAAAAATTTCGTGCTTCTTCAACGAGGAATTCCTATCATAACTATCTCGAAACGAGTTGCGAAGAGAAGAGAAAAATAAATGGTTGCAAAAAGTATTTGCATGCACTTTCGCGTTTTAATGAAGCGTTTCTCGACTAGGTTCTACGTTTTCGTTTTTTTTCAAATACTTATGATTCGTACGAAAATACTTCTAAATAACATCACAGTACTAAATGAACGCCACGGTGTCCAAATATATATTTTTTTTAGCCACTCTACGACCGTATATTTCTATTTGCGCGTCGTCGGATCGATCTCCGTCGATTGTCCATTTAAATTCATGCAATTTCCAAGAACGTCAAATTTTTTTCTGTTATCTGCAATCCACATCTATGGATGGAGGAAATGTATTCACGAAAAATCTCTGTACCCCGGAAAGAAACAGAAGAAAAAAATAGCAAGAAAGAAAGAAATAGAAAAAAAAAAGGTAGAAAAGGAAATGAAAAAAGGAAGGAATTTCGATGTATCGTGTCAAAGTCATTTAGAGGAACAACGATCCGGATATCACGAGTGACAAGCGCGAATATCAAACATGTGCAAATTCGGAACAGGAAGCTGTCGGCCGAGTGCCGGGAGAGCGAGAAGCGTGGGAGAGGCGGAGAAGCCGCTACAATATTTCACCATCGACAAAGCAAATTTTTCTTTTTCTTTTTCTTTTTTTTTTTTGCCGTGTCCCGGTGTACGTTGCAATAACAACAGAAAAGAGGGAACAAAAAAAACGTAACAAAAGAGAAAGAGAAAGAGAATAGAAAAGAAGGAAAAAAGGGGTGGAAAACAAAGAGGGGTGGAGGGGAAGTAACGCGAGCGCATTTCAACGTAACGTTTCAATTAATACGTCGGCGAGTGAAATAAGAGGGAGTAGGAAACACGAAACGGAATAATAGCCGTGAGAAGTGACGCGTAGAAAAAAAAAAAAAAAAAAAATTTGTCAGATCCGGCACACCTTGTAACACCGTGTAATCAGAACGCGAATCGCGAGAGGGGGGGGGGGACGGTGGGATCCGCAACAACTGCATACAAATTCGCCCGTGATTAATGTAAATCATTTCGTGCCGATGGCTCCGCTACGAATATTAATACGCGAGATCGCGTGGCGCGACGCTGCGTCGCAATAAAAATTATTATTCTACAATTTTGACGAACGCGTCCGACTCTCTCTCGCGCGCGCGCACACGCACGCAACGATATTTAAAGATTTCGAACTCGGTTGAATTATTCGTCGTTCGTGCGCTCAGCGGGAGTCCGCGCGTGAAATCGAAATCAAGGAACCGGGCTCTAATTACCGACTGACGCACCGGCGGGATGACAGTCGTTGCGATTAATTTCGAAATTAATTTTGTAATCGCGACGGAATATAATACGAGGCAACGGTGGATTGTGCGCATTGTGAGTTCTCGTTGAAAAACAACGTGTCGCGTGTCGTAAATGTGTGTGTTGGTTAATTGGAATATCCTTTTCTTTTTTTCTTTTTTTTTTTTTTGAGAAACGTGTATCATTTTTTAAATAATTTTGTTATGTTAGCCGGGCAAGTGGACACGTTTCTAAAATGCAAGTAAAAAAGTAATATTTGTCGACCACATATGGCATATAATTTTATAGACTATTAATTGCAGAGAATTTCAAAAAACTCGATGAACAATATTTATGATTGAACAAGTTATAAATCCGATTATCAGATCAGTCCTCAGTTCGATCTCCTCGCGTATGTATTTGCTAGGTTAGAAAAAGTCACTCATGTATAGAGAAGGTATATAGAAATTTAAAAAAAATTCATTTGTGTCATCCCAAAGCAATTCACACAGAAAAATATGTATCATATTTGAGTACGAGCTTTTTTTTTCAAACGCGTAAAAACGAGTAAAATTCCTCGTTTCAAAAAAAAAAAAAAAAAAGTGTCGTCTCGACGTTGTTGACCGAAAAATCAGAAGATATTAAAGGAAATTATACTCGTGTAAATAAATAAAAAAAAAAAGAGATTCATGAAACTATCTCACTCAGCGAGAAGTATGTAATTTCATTTATTGAGCGAACATTCGTCCGTCATGAGTTTCCGAGTCACGCAGTGATTTACGATTCGTTCGCGGTCGTTTGTCAGCGAGGGCAGAAAGTTATTAAAAACAGCTTCGTACAAGTGATCTTTATTTTCCTGTCCTTGCGTGGACTATTGCCAATATTAGCGCTCGAGAAACGTTATGCATAACGAGACGCGAGAGGAGGATCGCCGCCGTCTCAGAATCAGAAACTAGAACTCGACCGTTAAAAGACGTTTCGCAGGCCAAAA